AGATAGGATCGGTATTTACAGATGAATACAGCTGGTGAAGCCAGACCTCTTACCTTTTCTGGATTTCATGCTAAGAATGCGCCCGTGTACGAAATCTTTATGAATATACAATTATATCAAAGTTTGAAAGTTTTTGTGCTTTTCACGAAATTTTCATAAACAACCAATCATGCTATAGAGTTTTAAAAGGTGTAAATCATATTGCTCATGAACTGTAGACGTAAAGCGATTAAAAAAGAAAATAATCCCTTTCTGATCAGGTACAAATAATTTTCGAGCTGAAAAACAGGATTTCGTATTATGAGTAGACTTTTTTCCTTAGTTCATTGTCCTATTTTAACTTGATCTGGACAGCCGCTATGAATCCTTTTTCATCTTCGCACTTAACAACTTCACTCGAGTTGCGTTGTGAAAAGAGTGTGAGTTCACACTAATGCGTTTATTTTCTGCATCAGACATTCTTTTCGCATTGCGTGAATCGGACCGAATTCATTTGCAGCGAACAACTCGTCAGTGGATGCTGGGCACAGATCCGTAAGAAACTGAACCTAATAAGTGCATCGTATTGATGCAGCGGTAGTGAAGAAAGGACTAGCCAAATCTGATTGTTGAGACTCTATGTCGCTTTTGCTTGCCGTATAGATTAAGAAAGATTATAGCTTTATTTTGAGGTCGTGATCGTGAGAACAATGAACAAAAAAGTACAGACATTCCTCCTAATATCCAGGAGCAGTTCGAGGTGGAGGACAGTGGTCGCAACCGCCACCAGCTCCGGTTTCTCCAAGAGGTCCTGGTTCACCAGGAGCTCCAGGATTTCCAGGTGCTCCATCGCGTCCTGGATCTCCGGGTGGTCCTTGAGGTCCGTCTTGTCCAGGTTGTCCAGGTGCCCCTGGTTGTCCATCTGGTCCTGGTGGTCCAGGTGGTCCTGGTGGTCCAGCGGGTCCGTCGGGAACTGGGACTTCTTCAATGGTTCCGGGTGGCCCTTGCTGTCCAGGTTGGCCTGGTTGACCATCAGCTCCTGGAGGTCCCTGTGGACCAGGGGGTCCGGGCTGTCCTGGTTGACCATCTGGGCCTGGTTGTCCGTTAGCTCCTGGGTTTCCATTGGGTCCCTTAGGTCCTGGATTTCCTGGCGGTCCGGGTGGTCCAGCGGGACAATCAAAGCAGAAGTCATCAGCAGTTGGCACTGCATCTGGGGCAGCATCAGCACCAGGCTCTCCATTAGCTCCAGGTAGACCGTCTTTGCCATCTTGACCGTCAAGTCCGGGAGGACCAGGAGGTCCAGCAAGACCAGACTTACAGCTGCAGCAACTACCACCTTGTTGTCCACCATCACCATGTAC